ATATATATATATATTAAAAAAAATAAATCATAGTTTGTAAAGAGCAATAAGCTTCCGTTTTCAGTTGTTCATCAAAATTACACCACAATTTTTTTCACTGTATGATGTTCTTTAGTTTATGTACTCAGTTAAAATCAGAGAATCATAGAATAGTTAGGGCTGGAAAGGACTTACGACCATCTGGTTCCAACCCCTGCCATGGGCAGGGATGCCTCACCCTAGACCATGTTGCCCAATGCTCCGCCCAACCTCGCCTTGAACACTGTCAGGGAGGGAGCATTTACCACTTCTCTGGGCAACTCTTTCCAGTCCCTTGCCACCCTCACAGTAAAGAGCTTCTTCCTTATATCTAACCTGAACCCACTAAACCCATTCCCCCTTGTCCTATCACTACAGTCCCTGATGAAGAGTCCCTCTCCAGCACCCCTGTAGGCTCCCCTCAGATATTGGACGGCTGATGCTTTATCCAAGAATGCCATATAATGCTGAAGTTAAATATCATAACCATTATTAATAAATATTTCTTGATGCTGCTTTGTCTTTCTTTCAGCAAAGTTTTGCTTCCTGAGAAGTTAAATTATAAACTATATAAAACAAGCAGCAGCTAATCTGAGCAACCACACTAAAATCTCTCCTGTAATAATCATATAATAAATTGGAACCTTTTTAAACTTTCCCTTAAAAATATAATCCATTTGCTTTGTGGAATGGCTATTGATTAAAACAATTTACCTATAATGCCACTTTGCTCAACTCATTAATTTTACTACTTTGTGCTGTAACTTCAGCAAACAAGCTCATACATTGACTTTAGGTTATTCTAAAACTGTGATTGCTACCTGAGAACAAGGGAGTATAAAAGCATTAAACATCAAAGTGATGGAAAATGCTGCACAATGACACAATTTGCAAATCACATACATCTGAGCTGGACAGTGACTGCTCATGATGGTACGTATTAGAAAGCGGCATGTATTATCAGCTTACAGACTGCATTTGGCACATTAAACTAGTTATCAACATTTTCCAGGTGAAGATGGTGTTTATTTGTTTGCCTAACAAGCAGATAGAGCTTAACTCATCCCTGCAGCTGTTTATTTTGAGTATGATACATGTTCTTCATTTTCTGTATACTAAATTTGACCTATTTGTAAGAAGTATTCAACTCTACTTCCACTTGAATCAGAACATGTAGAATGTTATCAAAATGGCAGGTGAGAAAGGTGCTCATGCCTTGCTCATTGCACAAACCTGTCAGATGACTAACAATTATAGCTTCAGACTTTTCATAGAACCATGGAATGGTTTGGGTCGGAATGGAGCTTAAGGATCAACTAGTTCCAAGCCCCTGCCATTGGCAGGGGGG